GTTAAGATAATTTTTGTTCAAAAGCTTGCTGCAAGGTTCACCATGTATCTTCAAAAATATTATATAACCTTATAACATCACAAACGTACATTTCTACTTTCCTCCCACTCCATCTTTCATGTATTTGTTGTCATAAATTTTATTTCTATATGTTAAAAATTCCACAATTCACTGTATTTTTGTTATAAATGGTCAACTATCAACTATATTTATATTTATTATTTCTTGTGCTCATTATTCTCTGTGAGTTTTCTTCTGGTATTCTTTTCCTTTAGCCTGAAGGACTTCTTTTATCATTTCTTACAGTGCAGTATACTAGCAATAAATCCTCTCTGCTTTTATCTCAAAATGTATTTATTGCTCTTTCAATTTGAAAGATACTCTTAATGAAAACACTATCAAAGTAGGTATTTAAAGATGATATTCTATTGTCTTCTGGTTTGCACTGTCTCTAACAAGAAGTCAGTAACATAATATACTTACCATTATTCCCTGCAAACTATCTGTTTTTTTCCCTCTGGCTGCTTTCAAGATTTTTCTCTTTATCACTGGTTTTCAGTAATTTGATTATGATGTACCTTGGTAAGGTCTTCTCTGTTGGGTTATTTAACTTCTTGAGTCTGTGGGTTCATGTTTTCCATCACATTTGGAAAAAGTTTTATTTCTTCAAATTTTTTCTGACTCAATCTCACTATGACACTCCAGTTATACCTACTTTAGATGGCTTAATATTATGTCACAATTCACTAAGACTCTCCATCTTTTTCTAGTATTTAATTTTTTTAATCTGTGCTTCAGTTTCTACTGTACTTTTTTCAGGCCAACTGATCTTTCTAGGTGTCCAACTGACAGACCTACTCAGTTAATTTTTCATTTTAGATATGATACTTTTTGGGTATAGAATTCTCATTTTGTAAAATTCCTTATTTTTTCTCTCAGTATGTTTTCCTTTAAGTCCCTGAACACACTGTAAATAGCTGTCTTAAAGATTTTACCTGCTAGTTCTATAAATTGTCATTTGTCAGTTTGTTTCTACTGACAGATTTTTTTTCTAGTTTTGGTTCATATTTTCCTACTACTTCACCTAAGTTATTTTTTATTGCATTATAAATGCTACACTGTTGATTGTATTTGTTGTCATCTTTATGAGTGGTAAGTTTTGTTCTGGAAGGCATTTAATTTAGTTAAAGATCAGCATGATCTTTTGGAGTTTGTATTTAAGCTTCTTTGAGGACTAAATTAACTCTGTTTTTAAGGCTTGGACTTTCTGAAGTCTCTCAAGCATTATGCAAGCTCCAGTTATTTTTCAGCTCACAGGTTTCCAGTAGCTGTTCTTTCCCTAGTAGTCCTATTTTCCCCCAAAACTTACTTTATTTTTATTGATACAGGTATTCCTGACAGTTAATATGGGTGGCTTAAAAGGAGGCAGTTAAAGGAAAGAGGAAAAAGAAAAATTATTCTGTCTACCCCTTTAAAAAAATATTTCCTTTAAAGGCATTATTTTTTAATTAGTACATTATTTTCCTAGTATATAAAATAGAGGAAGATCCCTGAACAAGAGTTCTCAAATCACATCCAGTTTCTGATATGCTCACTTTAGGAAGCATCTATAATTTCCTTTATTTCTTAAATTACTCATAGAAATAATTCTGAATCACGAAGAAAAGACATTGAGAATAACTTATGTATTTTTAAATATGGTTTCTGTAATCCAATCTCTATATTTACACCATTGAAAGGTGAATATTGGAGTTTGGCACTGAAAAAAGAACACACCCTTCTAATTCACCCCAAGGAAGAAAGGAAGGAAGAATTCCTTAAACCTATTTTCTTTCCCTTTTCTTCATTTTCTATACAACTTTGCTTCGTTATTTAAATTTATTCAATAGTTTATTTTGAGGCTGAGGGATTCAATCAAAATCTCCTCTGAAAGGCAGTCAAACTCTAGGACAAAGAAAAGGGAGACAAGAGTGATAGGTGTCCCAAAGGTACTGCAACCATAGTAAAGTGCAGGAGAGCAGAATATTAACAAAATTTTAAAAAGATTAAAAAAGAATATTTTATACTTCAAAGTTATTTCAAATAAACAATTGACATTTTAAATAAAATATGAATAGAAAATAAATTGGTGACATAAAAATGTGAAATTAATTTTGATTAAAAATGAATTATCATTTTGAAAAGGTTCAAAATTTAGCTGAATAAAAGTTCTGGTCCCATTGTCTCAAATGTTTTATAAATAAATACTGTGCCTCTACAGTAGCAGAAATAAGGATAAAAGTGAATTTTGAAAATAAGAAAATGCCATCAATCAAAAAAAAAAGGGAAAAAAAGCAGTTAGAAAATCTGTTTTCATGGTGAATCTTAACTGTATAAAATGTCCTTTATTTTCAAAACAGCCCTGACTTTTAAAATAAGTAGCCAAATTGCTATCATATTTTTTCTTCTGAAAATATATTCACAGGTTACATTTTAATTTTAGAATACTTTGCAAATAACATTAGAAATTTTCTGAGTGAAAAAAGTGATATTGTTAAATAGGTAGTAACCAATTTCTCTTAGTTGTCCTATTATTACTTATATGTGTATCTCAATTTTTATTTTATTTTTTTTAAAGATTTTATTTATTTATTTATTTATTTATTTATTTATTTATTTATTTATTTATTCGACAGAGGGAGAGACCGCGAGAGAGGGAACACAAGTGGGGGGAGTGGGAGAGGAAGAAGCAGGCTTCCTGCTGAGCAGGGAGCCCGACGTGGGGCTCAATCCCAGGACCCTGGGATCATGACCTGAGCCAAAGGCAGATGCTTAACGACTGAGCCACCCAGGCGCCCCACATATCTCAATTTTTAAATGTCACTATATTAGTAAGAATTTATAACAGGATGTTAGGTACATACTATAAAAACAAAATACTAATTTAAAAAATTTAGATTTTAAAACAATATACCAAAAACTATGTTCATTTGGCTGTTAATAAAACAACAAAATTTACATTATTATTAATCAATAAAACAGTAAAAGTAAATGGAAAACTAAAATACTTCAGTAATAGACAAACATCTGATTTGAAATATCATTTAAGCTTTAGAAAATCTGAGGAGTCCTCACAGATAAAGAATTCAGATAGAGTCATAGAAAGTGCTTAATTCCACTGCTAGTTCTGTAATTTTACTTTAAACTATTATTAAAGTTTATGAAAGGGAGGGAAAAATCTATTTAGAAGTACCCCTGAGTCTAAGGACGTACACTTTTAAAATTTTGATGAATGCTGTCAAATTGCCCTTTAAAAGGATTGTACTAATTTATATTCTCATCAACAGCATATGAAATAATGCCCATTTTCCTAGACCCTTTCCATTAGCATATAACAAACTTTTTATTGTCAGTAATCTGACAGGCAGAAATTCTCACTGCTGTTTTAATTTGCATTTTTGATCATTATTATGTTCTCATATATTTATTTGCCACTTGCATGTCTTCTGTGAATTGTCCAAACATACAGTGCCTGTTTTTCTACTGTTTTGTCCTGATTTGTGGGATTTTGTTCAATATTAAGGGTAACTTGTCTGTTACATAACTTGCAAATATTGTTCCACATTACTGTTTATATTTTAACTTAGTTTATATCATTGTTTTCTGTGAAAAAAACAAACTTTCAAGTGTTTTGTAGCCAAATTTGTCCATTTTCTCCTTTATGGCATCTTGGCTGCATGCCATCCTTTATAAAACACATTAAAATTTCCCCTCAATTGGCATATTATGAAAAGAATAATGGTATGTTTTATATTTAGTGATGTCCCAAACAACTCAACACTCAAATGCTAAGACTGAAACATGTGGTTAAATCTAAAAGAGCTGCAGGTATTCGTTTAAAAAAATAATTTAAGAAACACATACAACAATTTGAGCCATGGTATAATGGAGTTTCTTTTACCATCTCTCAGGTCTTTAGCCTTCCATTATGTAGATAGTATGAGATCTTTCAGGATATTAAAATATAAAAGAAAAAAAAATTAAAATCATTCACTCTAACTACACCTAATATGGGAAAATTCCCTAACTCTATGCCGGAGAAAAAAATGGTCCATCCCATTTCCAGCCAATTCTAATTGATACCAAATTTTTCTGCATGTTGAGCCAAAAGTTGCCTCCTTGCTTTATTCATTGCTGTAGACCTACTCTCCGGAAAAACAGAAAACAAGTGTAGCACCACCTCTGTACCACTGCATCCTTGCAGATAATTGAAATATTTTCTTCAAGTTCAATTGTTCTTTCCTTATTGTACTTTTTAATATAAATATTTGTTCACATGTCTAAATGACCCAACAGACTAAAATCTCCATGAAGACAGTGCAAATGTCTTTTAAATCTTAATCCTTGGTGCCTGTTATATAGAAAGCATTTAATACACAACTGGGTGAATGGAAAGAAAAAAAAATGTATACAGTTGTCTAATTTCCTTTTAGAAAATTTAAATTTGTCAATATTTTCCTTATAATCAAGAAAGGCAGACAATATGATCTGTTTCTTATGTGATATTCTAAGATTTTAATGTATAGTTCTTTGTCTTGAACATATTCCTGATAAATATGTGATAATGAACAATTAAAAACATATCTACAGATCCAAAATAGTCCATAAAGTAGTTCATCTGCACTGTGCAATTAATATATTATTGATCTCCCATGACATTTTCAATGTCATTCTGACATGTTAGTTAATATAAGGGAATTTGGTATTATGGCTATATACATCCAATTATATTCACATTAATTTTATAAACCATTCACTAAATAGAGATTTTGGAGCTGCATACATGCAAGCAATAAGTATGAAGAGAGTTAGGTCAGATCTCCTAGGGGACCTCAGGCATAAAACTATAGATCTTCAATGGTAAATCTATTCCTGAAAATAAATTTTTTCTAAGAAATGTGCTTAGTATTTTTAAAAATATATGAATCTTCACCAACTAGTTGCAACCAAAAAATACTTACTTCACTGTGGTACTTAGAAGAAAGTTCAGCTGTGGCATCAGCAAGCTGTCTGGGGCTGAGAGGTAACGATCAAACTGAACCTACATGAAACAGAGAAAGAGCAAAACATAAAGTGCATATATTTGTTAGTAGACATCTCAAATACAACCATCACTTTATAAGGGTTAAATCTTAGCAAACATATCATGATACAAATAATGAGTTCTTTGTGATCAAAATGAGTTATTGCTTCAACATTCTAACTAAAATTCTCTAAAGTGTCAACTTCTTAATTAGTCAATATCAGCAATAGCTACTTTTAAAATTCTGAATCCAAGTCATTCATCTTAATCTCCTTCACCAAACTTTTGAGTAACAATATTAACAAGAAAGGTCATCAGATTTCAAGTCTACCTTACTTTCCTAAATCCACTGAATTTGTTAATTGTTAATTTACCTATTCATTCAACTAATATTTATTGAGTACCTACTATTAGGAAGGTACTATATTAGGTAAAGTGTGTATAATGGTGAGCAAAAGAGGCCAGACCCTAGCTTCACAGAGCTTAGGATCTACTGAGAAAGGTAATAAACAAATAATAATGTAAATAAATATATAATTACAAATTATGTTAGATGCTATGAAGGAAAACACCAAAGTACTATAAAAGTGTAAATCAGGAGGATGGACCTAGTTTCTGTGTTTGGCAAAAGAGTCTGAAGAAAGGACATGTGAAGTGAGATCTGAAGAGATGAATAGGGATTAAGTAAGAGAGTGTGTAGTGGGGGCTCAGGGGGTAGCATGCATGGGATAGCACGGATGAAGGCTTGAGGTGAGAAAGAGAATGGCAAACAGAGATTGGTTCATGTAGGTCTCCGACGCTTTTTTAAAGGATTTTAATTCTTACTGGTAAAAGCATTTAGGAAACCACTGAAGGAGGGGAATAATCTGATTTAAGTTTTAAGAAGCTACATCTGGCTACAGCAAGAAGGAGGGAAGGTTGTAATGGTAGATGCAAGAATACCAAATAGGTGGCTATTGAAGCATCTTAGACCACAAGGACAGTAACATGGTAGACAGAGGAGGAGATATTTGAGAGAACTGGACAGTAAAACCATCAGCATGTGGTTAGTGACAAGGTGTAAGGGCTGACTTCCAGATCTGGATCTGTATAATTTAATTCACAGCATTATCACAATTCATAACTGTATTCTTTTCACATTTATTTAGTTGTGCAACAGCTACACTCCTTACTAGATCACGTCTATTTTCATCCCAATTCTTAGCAATCGGATGCCTAGGAAACAGCAGATAATGTTGAAATGATAATGGACAGATGCTCTTACCACTTTCTGTGTTGGGAAACTTGAAAGAGGACCTGGGGGTGGCGCAGGAAAGACTTAATTAAAGGAGTTCAATTCTGGGATATGCTGAACTGAAGTGCCCTAAAGCATTCAAGTGAAGGCAACAGACTTATATATAAAATGATGGACCACACACAAAACAAGATTCTGTTTCTTTAGAGAGAGAGATATTCAACTTAACTGCTATTAAAGTTTAAGACCAAGCACAAAATAATTTGTAATGGGGTTTAAATATATTTTGTGGGTTTATATTATGGACTGGGTATGTGTTGGTGGGGGAGAGAGAGAGGGAGGAAACACATTTATTGAGTACTAACTAAGGTTATTGATCTTTGTAATGTGTAGACTTATGTCCTCATTTGGGAGTGGGGGGAATACCTTGAAGTGGGACTACTGGGTAGTAGGGTGAGTGTATATTTAACTTTCTAAGATACTTATCTTTTTTAATTAATCTAAAATTTATTTTTTATTTTTAAACTTTTTAGAATAAAATCTTAATATTTTTATAGTTTTTACTGTGATGTTTGATGAACAGAAGTTATAACTATTACTTCTCTCTATGTGTATATATATTTTTATCATGACATAATATTCCTTATGTATTTTATTTAGTGTTTTTAAAATCTATCTTATCTAATATTAATATTGTTGGCTCTGCACTCTTTGCATTGTTAGGTACCTTGTGGGCTTATCCCTTTCATATAATTTAGCTCTGTAAGATGATAGGTAACAAAGCCTTGGTATCAAAAGTCATCCAGGAGAACTGTGTGCTAAAGTCAAGCCATTGTGGGGAGTATTTAAATACTTAGGATAGGATAGGCATATAGTAGTTGAGAGTGTCAGTACTAGGTTGAATGGGTTTGTTCAGAGGATTAGAGTTAGCATATGAAAAACACTAGCATGCTCAATAAATGCTAAAGACACTGTTGTTATTACTGCTGCTAGTGTAATTACTACAAAGCTTCCAAACAAGATCATCCTATGTTGGCTAAACAAGTGTCATCTGACTGGTGGATATACATACATGCCAAGTATATAAGTAAGACGTGGAAACATGCTACAAGAAGTGGCGCTCATAGATGTGCAGGCAAGCTCTTCACTTGAAAAGAAGGAAATAAAGTGGAGTTTGAGGAGTCTCACACTCAAGAGTAATATATTATTTTAAGACTGGAATCCAATTTCAGTTATCATCTCAGGAAGAAATCAAGAACTATAAGCCAAAGATCACTAACAGTAGGAAGTCTTTAATGATATATAGCCTAAAAATTTTTCATCTGTCATTTCTGTTTCTCCATTACGTTAAAAGTAAAACTCTGAAAATCAAGAAAACCTAAACAGGAATGATGAGGAGTTAGGGTAGAGTGGAATACTACTACAAACGTATGTCTTGGTCAGACCTTAGTTAAAGGAAACATTATTATTGCACCCAATGTGAATGTAGTATATCAAGAGATAAAAATTACCACCCAGGACAAAATTACCACACAGGAAAAAATTAATAATAATTAGTATAGAGGAAACCTATGCTGAAATGCTTTACTATTCACTTACCATTGCAGCCTTCAGTGCCACAGAATCTAGGTTGGGCAAATTAGCTAAAGAGCCCTAAAAAACAAAACCAAAACAAAACAGCAAAAACAAGATGTAAAAAAAGGTGCTATAGTTTCAGTTCATTTATGAAATATAGTCTATTAATAGATTCCCCAAATTTGGAAATTCAGCTCCTTTCCAAAGAATTCAAGTGTCATCTCTTCAACGTCAACTACAGCAGAGACTACGACTTGATCATTTTTATGTAACTAGCACGAAGGCACACAATCATATTTGTTGGAGGGAGTGACAAACACAAGTTTATTAACAATGGGAATACCAGGATATTTCAGATTTACATATAAGCAAGGCAAAAACGCAAGGAAGCACTTAGAAAATGTCAGTAAATCATGGAGGCTTGAAGTTGCACTCTGACAATTTTAGGTAGTATAAAAGAGCAACAGATCTGATTCCTCTTTGGTAGAAATTTGCTTGCTGCTTTATCAGAATAAAAAATTTGGAACTGGTTATTTTTGAAAGCCTCATTTAAAAGTTCCTGGACTATAAAATATTCTTCATGTTAATGCCATTTAAATGAGTTCTCTGCTTTTTATTTTTTTAAATTTTATATTAATCACCATACATTACATCATTAGTTTTTGATGTAGTGTTCCATGATTCATTGTTTGCATATAACACCCAGTGCTCCATTCAGTAAGTGCCCTCTTTAATACTCATCACTGGGCTAACCCATCCCCCCACTCCCCTCCCCTCTAGAACCCTCAGTTTGTTTCTCAGAGTCCATAGTCTCTCATTGTTCGTCTCCCTGTTTGATTCCCCCCCTTCATTTTTCCCTTCCTACTTTTTTTTTAACATATAATGTATTATTTGTTTCAGAGGTACAGGTCTGTGATTCAACAGTCTTACACAATTCACAGGGCTCACCATAGCATATACCCTCCCCAATGTCCATCACCCAGCTCCCCCATCCCTCCCATCAGAGTTCTCTGCTTTTTAAAGAAAGATCCTGACATAGATTTCTCGGGTTCCCCCATTCCCTTCTCTGTTTCCACTGTAGTTCTATAGCTTAACAAGATCTTATGCTGGCCTCAAAGTATTTACCTTTCCAAAGTAATAGACCAAGATTCACTAAGTTAAAAAGGGGATGACTGCATTTACACAGTAATCTATGCATTCAATTAACTGATAGTGATATAGGACTCTGGAAAATTTATCAGTATGAATATCCTTTATATATTTTATAATACTAAAGTTTTTTTTCCATTATTTTTAGCCAAAATTACCATAGTAAAAAGGACAGTTAATATTTGGGGGCACTCTACCACATCTCAGGTAGTCATCTAGGAACTGTACATGTATTTTCTCACTTTATTTTCAGAACAACCCTATGATACAGATATTAATATCACCCCAATTCCACAGATGAGGAAATAGATAGAGAGATAAGTCACTTTCCCAGTGAAAAACAGCATTAAGTGGCAGAGCCAAGATTCAAACTAGAGTCTAGCTCTAGAACCCATGCTCTAAATGGGCATTTCTCTAATTAGGATCCTCCATGTGCTTACCTGTTCAGGCTTATGTTGCTGTAGGGTGTTATAGATAGAACTCAAGCCTGCTCTAGTTAAAACATAAGAAGCTTGCTCATTTATAAGTGTGTCCAAATGTGCTTCAATCTAAAATAAAACACAACAGAAAGAAAATATTTTAAGAGAGGAATAGGACTGATGAGAGTTAGAAGTAGACCACCCTGGAGTGAGCTCTTCATTAGGGACTTGTTCCTTGCAGTGGCTATGAGGCCAGACCATGAGGCACAGGAGCTGCTTCTGTGACAAAAGCTTTTCCTTCCCCAAAGAGGAAGTCCTTCTACAAAAGGGAGAGAAAGTCTCACTTTAAAAATGATAACTGAAAATGACTCCAGGACTAGCCACTAGTCAAAAAATCTGAGTTGCCTGTCAGCTCTTTCAAAAGATGGCACTAAGCAAAACACAAACAAAAAACAAGAAACACTAAAAAATAACAACAGTGTAAAATAAAATATTTAGGAAGACTTCTGGGAAGATGAAGGCCTTATGTTCCTGACCTCCACATTCCCTTACCCTCCCAACTTATTGGACCGACTCAACCAATCAAATGTGCCGTCTGGAGAAGCAGGTTTGTTATAATTAGGGGAGAGCTGAGGACCCAGCAGGAGGTTGGTCAAAGATTTCAGGTTTAGGAACTGCCCATGAAGATGTGAACTAGCAGATGTGAGTTGTATATGCTCACCCGCTTTGTGTTATCTTTGAGGAAGCCATCCAATGCTAATGGGGGCAAAATCCACACAAGTGGACTCCCCTGATGGGTTGAAGTGTCCCCAAGTGGGAAGAAGCCTGCTGCTCCCTTACTCTTACCAGTATAGGCCCGAGAGTTTGGGAGTCTTCCATCTTTTCCTGACCGGGGAGTTCCCTCAGTTTTACCAGTTTGTCTGCCCACGGCACAGTACACTGACTGTGCTCTTCATATCCGAATGCTTGCCGTTATCCAAGTAAACTCCAATAGCTGAGCCCTTCCCCCCTTAAAAAACTTTTAACTTAAAAGAGGTGAGTATGTTCTAAGAGAAAACCCATCTGAATAATTAGAACAAATATCTTTTCCGGAGGCAACTCTATTAAAAGACACAGAGTACTTTAATTTTTTTTTTAAGTGAATGTCCAAGAAAGTACAATTAGAGCCCTTAGTCACTAGACTTCCTGGAAATCAAAGAAAAACAAGATGTGTAAATATAAACATTTAATGAAAGAGTTACTGCTAAAACCAAATGAGTATCTGAAGAAGAACAGAAGAAAAGTAATACAGTAATATCAAAGAAAGATTAAATTAAAGAGATATAAAAAGAAATTAGAAGAGAGATTCTAGAGATAAAACCAACTAAGGACAGGAGCTTCAGAATATAAACAGTAACAGATGGAAAAGTGGTAATTAATTAGATAGTAAAAAACTTTACTGAGCAAAAGAAAGGGTTGAATCTTCAGACTGAAATGGCTCTGCAAAATCCAAATGGAAATAACAGAAAAAGAGACATACCAAAAAATATCCTGAGGAAATATCTGAACTCAAAGGAAAATCCTTACAAGCTTCCAGATGGACAGAATAAGTTACCACAAAGAAAGAGAATCAGACTAGTCTGAACACCTTACTTGAAACACTGGAAGAAGGCAAGTAAAAGTGGAAGAACATTAACAGACTACTGACAGAAAAACGCTGAAAATCAAGAATCTTTTACTCCACAAGGTGAACTTTCTTTGGAGGGCCTAAATAAACCACACCTTCCAGTATCTGCGCATCATTGTACTGTCCTCTCTCACACTGACTCTGGGCTGGCCCACGCAACAAGCATTGGCCAACAGCCAATCAGCAAGCATGGAATAAGTACAGGCTGCCTAGGCACTTATACACTGGGGCTTGTCCCCTTGGAATGCAAAACATGACCACAGAATAGTTAAGAAACACAGATAATTGGGGATAAAACAGATTGATGAACACCTGATATATCTGAACTTCTTGAGAAAAGATTTAGACAAATGGTTGAGTTTGGGGGTTGAATTAGTGATAAATACAGTAAAAACCAATGAATTTAAAAAAAAAAGAATTTTATTAATTCCCCAAAAAGTTATGTAAGGAAGGAAAATTAATCATACTTCATTTCTTTTAAAAGAAGGAATTAGAAATCAGAAAATATCACAAGTTTAGATATATCAAAACTTACTCCTTAGAAACCCCTAAAACTTTACAAATGAATTTTTACCATAGCCACTGACAAATTACTTATATACTTGTAATAACACAGAACATTCAGAGTTTTTTCTTAAAAACATTATATTTACCAAAATCCACTATTTCAAAACCAGAAGCCAAGTATCTGGTAAATTTTACAAATGGCTTTGTTTTAGCCACTTTACAAACTCTTAAGCAATACCATTTGGCTTATAGGACTAGAGTCACTGGTATAACAAACTGTAATGTTTTGCCTAACACTGGTTTACACATAGATAAAAATATATCTGTCCTCTGTAACACCTTCTGCACTAGCTAGAAAGCTTGAAAAATATAGCATATTATTCACAGTTCAGAAACTGAAATCTGCATACAGAATAACTGTTCCAATCAATAAGAAAAGCTTCATTCCATCATCACAAACTATGGTTTGAATAAAATGTCATATTTATTATATATTCCAGCTTCCCCCAAATAAATCCAAACTACCGAGTGTGTGTGTGTGTGTGTGTGTGTGTATGTGTATGAATGAACTTCCATCAGGTTATACCAAAGGATTTATAGAAAGTAGGTCACTGAAATTGGATTAAAGCCAGTAACTGAGATCGTATACAGAAAAAAGGCTCCATCACAGTGCGCTGTCATCTTATGGTAAAATTTACCTGAAATTGTAGCATTTCTAGACGTCTGTCAGTGAACTCAAACAGAGCCAGTGTTGTCTTCATCATATATAGTGAATTGACCATGAAAGTGGCCATGTCAGCTGTGCCTAAATTGCTGGCAGATACAGTACACATTTGGAGGAGAGGATCCAAGACACATGATAAAACCTTTAAATGAAAAATAAAATGAAATTTATTTTTTATTCCCCAATCAGTGATACAGGCCTGGGTGAACAGTACTTCAGAACGAACATAAAACTAACTGGAAGGGGGCCAACTTACAGAAGTACATTTTAAAAAGATTAAATGGTACAGTAGTCATAATGTTTTTTACAATGAGCATCACTTGAATAAAATACTTTCAAATTAAAGAGAGCTGGTTTAATATTTGAAGGAAAAATCAATGAGAAGGATTGTTAAAATGTATGGGTTATAAAATGCCAGAATTTCAACAGAATGTATAATAGGGAGCAATAAGTATAATTATTAAAAATGATTTATAACATACTTGCACAAAGTCAGCTTGACGGGCATCTAATGGTACAACTGAAGAATCGTGAGATGCCAAAACTTCACGCAACAACATGAGTGTCTGATTTAATGCAGAACTTGGTCCAAGATCAGGTGGTGGGAGTTCAACCTAAAATAAAGGGTGGTTCATCCACTGCTTACATTTTTCCACTAAATTTTAATGTATAAATAAATGCAATTCATAGTAAAATAATACATATAAAAGATGTAAAGCTTTGACATGTTACAAAACCTGTAATTTATCAGTAGCTTATACTAATAAGCATAGAAAGTGACACAAAAGTTTTTTGTTATATTATTACAGAATATATTCTCATAGCAGTGCAGAATTTGTACTTCCAAAATTCAAAAATTATAAGAAAACTTAGTGGTCTTTGAATTGTAGAATTATATTTTTATATAAACTTGAAATGGCTTACTGTTTTGTTTTTTTTTGCCCAAGTCATAAGAAAAAGGCAATCCAGAAACCACCACTCCCCCAACAGTAACATAACTGAGAATCGTCATCCACCCCAGGCCCAAATCTCAGAGATTTTGGTTCAATATGCATAGGTTTGGGGCCTAGGAATCTATCTTTCAATAAGCACCACAGGCGATTTTCAAGGGATTGGTTTATGGGCTACACACTTCACAAAAATGCAGTACACACTGTATTCTACACAGTATAACACAGCCACTAAAATCTTAAGAACTCAAGTTAAAGATTAGTTTTACATTTTAGATTACCATTTACCAGTTGTGTAGTCCTGGGTAAGCTCTTTAACTTCTCAGAGCTTCAGAGAGATTCTGTAAGGACTAAGTTGGATTGTTGCATCTAAACTGCTGGTAGAGTACTAGGCACTTAGTAACTGGAAAGTATGCCAAGTTCATTACCCCTACTTGCCAGCATCATGATATCCAAGAAGACATCCCTGTGAATTTTTTTAAAACACATTTTTCTGAGTACTTATAATATTAATATAGACAGATTTTGTTTTATTTATAAAATCTCATACTTAGAAGTCCATGTAAGAGACTATAGCCTTGTGTCAGATAGAAAGGTGTAAGAATTTATAAATATCTGGATTTATATTAAGAATGTTTTATATAGAAAAGTTAATACATAAGTGACATCAGCAGGAATGGCAAAGTATGGACCTCTGAAAATCCTCCCCTCCTTCACAAAAGCAACAAAACCAAAAAATATAAGACACGCAAAGAAATAAAAAAATACAGTCCATACACAGAAAAAAAAAAGTCAATAGGAACTTTCCCTGAGGAAGCCCAAACATTGGAGTTACTACTCAAAAACTTTAAATCAGCTACTTTAAATATGTTCAAAAAACTAAAGGAAACCATGTTAATGAACTAAAGTATGAAAAGAGTGTCTCATCAAATAGAGAACATCAATAAAGAGAGAGAAATGATAAAAAAAGTAACCAAATGGAAATTCTGTAGTTGAAAATCTCTAAAATGAAAAATTCACTATAGGGATTCAATGGCACATTTGAGTAGGCAGAATAAATGATCACTGAACTTGAAGATAGGCCAATTAAACTTATCCAGTCTGCAGAATTGGAAGAAAAAAAAATGAAAGAAAGTTCACAGAGCTTCAGATACCTATGGAACACCATCAACACAAGTACAATGGGGATCTTAGAAGAGAGAAGTGCAGAAAGAATATTTGAAGAAATAATGACAAAGACTTTGCAAATGTGATTAAGACAAAACATTAATCTAAACATTCAATAAGCTCATAAACTCCACACAGAATAAACTTAAATAGATCCACACTAAGACACATCACAATCAAACTGTCAAAAGACAGGAAATTTGCAAGTAGGAGAGAAGTAACATTATGACAAAGGAAGCTCATAAGATTAACAGCTGATTTCTCATCAGAAAACATGGAGGCCAGAAGCCACTGGATGGCAATAGTCAAAGGCTGAAAGACTGTCAACAAAAGATTTCTATATTCAGTAAAACTATCCTTCAAGAATAGTTGACAGAGAAACTGACATTCCCAAGAAACAAAAACTTCACTAGGAAACCTGTTCCACGAGAAATATGGGAAATCCTTCAGGCTAAAGTACAGGGACACTAGAGATAACTTAAATTCATATGAAGAAATAAAGAACACCAGTAAAGGTTCTGACATAGATAAATACAAGGCAGTATTAATATACTTTCCATTTGTAATTCCTTTTTTCCCTTATTTACAAGACAACTGCATGAAGCAATAATTATAATGCCATGTTAATGAGCACATAATGTAGAAAGATGTAATTTGTAAAAATAATAGTGTAAAGAGGAAAACTAGGCTATGTAGGAGTAAAGCTTTCATGTGCTATTGAAAGTAAGTTGGTATTAACCTGAACTGCTATAAATTAAGATGTTAATTGTAATTCCCAGGGCACCACTAAGAAACTAACTATACACACAAACTTTCACTCACATATATTTAAATAAATAGTAAGGGAATTAAAGTAGTATACTAGAAAATAGTAACACAAAAGAAGGCAATAATAGAGGGACAGAGGAACAAAAACAGTTAAGACATACAAGAATAGCGAAATGGTACTACTTTATCAGCAATTAAATTAAATGTAAATGGATTAGAAATGCCATCTAAAAAGCAGAGTGGCAGATGGATTTTTTAAAAAGAATAATCCAACTATCTACATGCTGTCTTCAAAGAAACACTTTAGATTTAAAGACACAAAAAGGTTGAAAGTGAAAGGATGGGAAATGATAAACCTTGCATACAAAAACCAAAAGAGCTACAGTATCTATACTGATTTCAGACAAAATAAACTCTGAAGACAAAAACTGTTATTAGAAATAAAGAAGGGTAGGGCACCTGGGTGGCTCAGTTGGTTAAGCGACTGCCTTCAGCTCAGGTCATGATCCTGGAGTCCCGGGATCGAGTCCCGCATCGGGCTCCCTGCTCAGCGGGGAGTCTGCTTCTCCCTCTGACCCTCCCCCCTCTCATGCTCTCTATCTCATTCTATCTCTCAAATAAATAAAATCTTAAAAAAAAAAGAAATAAAGAAGGGTATTTTATAATGTTATTAAGAAGACATGACCATTACAAACATGTGTGCATTTAACAACAGAGCCCCAAATACATGAAGCCAAGATTGAAGCCAAAATTGAAGGAAAAGTATCTCTCATGGCAAATATTTATTTCAAGTTTCACATCTCTTTCAGTTTTATTTCCTTTTTTGTATTAAATTCAAATTGAATTAAGAAAGAATCCAGAATACGAAGTCATCTCCTATAAAAAGTATTTTCTATTCATTCATCCAATTTAAAAAGATATATAAAATGTTAAACTGATTAGCAATGAGGGGCACCTGGGTGGCTCAGGCAGTTAAGTGTTTGCCTTCAGATCAAGTCATGATCTCAAGGTGCTGGGACCGAGCCCCACATTGGGCTCCCTGCTCAGCAGGAAACCTGCTTCTCCCTCTACCACTCTCCCTGCTTGTGCTCTCTCTGTCAAATAAATAAAATCTTAAAAAAAAACTGATGGCAATGATGGTTATTTAAAATTATTCCTAAATGAAGGAATTTTTAAAAACTTTCATCTTTATGTTTTTCTGCATGGTTTGAATCCTTACCATGAATTTATGCATATCAATTTTACAAAAATAATAGAGCAATCTATCACCCAAACTGAATGAAACATGTCAACCTGTTAATAGCAATTAATTCAGGATAACAAGGGATGGATGACCATTATTTTGTTCTTTGTGTTTTCAATGTTTTAAACTAAATTATTTGTTATTAAAGTGTACTTAAAATTTTAGAAATTTTAATTAGAATATACAGGTATTACGTATACATGCATGCATATACATAAGTAATATAAAATGCACAGAAGCTAGTCAAATAAAAAATGACTCGGGAATCTTTAGATAAGTATAAATCAATAAGATCTGCCAGCACTCTAATAGCTTTAATATAGAAATAGGCAGCACCAGAGGAAATGTGTGTGTGTGTGTGTCTCAGTTTCCCAAAACCTTTCCTAAAAAGAAAAAATAATAATCAAGAATTAACAAATCCTCCAGGGAAGCTTCAGTACAGCTACATACACTGTATGATTAAGACCCTAATGTTTAATGTGCAATTTTCTCTTCTAAGTTATAAACAATAGTATCATTTGGAAACAAACAAAAAAAACCCTTAAAGAATATCTTTCAAAAATTCATAGTTTTTCAATTGCCAATCAAAACAGAAGGCCGATGAGAGAAATCTTATGTACCAATAAGAGCTGATGAGAAACCTCTTTTTACCCTCTTGAATTAAGGTCTTTAAAAGCTGTGCAAATTTAAAGCAAAAGTCATGCCTCTGTTAGCAGAGCCAATGATAAATGATACAAGTACTATTTGAATTCACTTCATTCAACAAACTGACATTCTGTGAAGCACTTTTACACACATCTATCAGATCAGCAATAGCTCAGAATCACATTTCAAAGGCAAAGTGAGAATTATGGCAGTTTCAGATAAACACGATTTATAATTTTATAATAATGTAGTAAAAATAATGGATAGAAAATGGAAAGAAGAAAAATATCTAATTAATTCAATTTAACTTCATCCAAGTGAAATGTATTTCTAATGGTTAAACTTTATACAAGATAGTGTGGTATTGGTGCAAGGACAGACAAACCAATGGGAGTAGAATAAACTTTATAAAACAAATCCACACATTTATGGTCTTGTGATTTCTGACAAAGTTTCCATTGCAGTTCAGTGGGAAAGGCTTGCCTTTATAATAAATGGTGCTTGATCTACTAGATATTCAAATGGGAAAGATTTTAACCTTGACTCCTACACCTCACAGCATACTCAAAAATTAATTTGAGATGGATGAAAGACCTAAACATAGAAGCTAAAGCAACGAAGTTTCTTAGAAAATACATGTAAGGATAATTTAATGACCTAGGGCAGGAGAAGATTAAATGACTAAAAGTTAGGATATAGGACAAAATTAAAATGAAGAACTTCTGTTCATCAAAATACACCATTAAGAGAGTGAAAACACAGGTTAAAATTGAGAGAAAATATTTGTAATGCTTATTTGTACCCAGAACACATTTTTTAAAACCCTCACAAATCAATAAGA